TCCTCGGGCGATAAAGATCTGTTGTTTATTCGTCCCGGAGAGGACGCCTATGATGGAATGCAAATCTTGCTAAACATAATACCTGGGCTGACAAGATGAGTGCCGCGCGAAATAGACTTGAAGACCTTCCTACATACCGCTGTCCTGATAGATCAGTTTGAGTTTGAGGAAGTAGGTGAAGTTTTCACGGACATGTGGTTTGATTTTCTTCAGCCACAGATTCCACAAGGCGAAAGGTTCCACTAAAGGTTTCGGTATTCACCGCGACCTTGCTGTAAATTTATCAGGCGTTGAGCAGCACAGATGATGTGAAATTAAATGCAAATGCTGTTTTGCGTGACGAAATCGGCCGAGCGCATTTCGCCGACCAATCTTGGGCGTAGCCACCCATTCGGCACTGCGTAGCGCTCCACTCCCTTCCGCGGAATGGAACAGCTTTAAACGCTGCAAGATGTTAGCTTAACTGGTTCTCGGATCACGTATCGCCTGTGTTATGCTAGTAAATATCCGAGGACACCCTGTCCACGCCTGCCCAACGAGGTAATCGATTATGTCTTGCGGGGTGACGCATTCGGATGACACAACGCTAAAGGCTGGCAACTGTCCAATGAACAGATCCTGCCATGATTAGGGAAGGTAGGACTCGCACTCCACACTAACCTAGTTTCAGCGTGTCCTCGGAATCGAGGATCGGCGATGTGATGCATGCCTAAATCCATTTTTTGGATTTCATTTGTATACCCAAAGGCATTTATTCTTGGGCTTCCGAATAGTCACCCATGTCAATGCTAAAAGTAGTTCTTGCTTTGGGTTTCCAACGCGATAGTGGCACGGATCCGTTGACTGATCTACGGTTGGGGTGTAGGCTAAACTCATGCCAGCATTGTTATTCATTTACCATTGCTGCTAAACGCAGGGAAACCAGCATCGGGTGTGGCACTACAACTAATATATTTCAAGGACACGATTTGTCTTCATATTTCGTGATTTTCCCAACGTTTGACACGAAACAGCTTATAATGGCATTTCCCACATCACTCAAGAAGATTGTTCTGAGGAAGGGACCTGTATTTGAGTATCCAGACAAAGGAGATGAGGTTACGGTGGGGTTCACAGGTTGGATCTACGAGGCAGGGAGCAAGGATGTGTTCCACAGGGGTAGAGAGTGAGTTTGAGTCTTACTGATACGGTCGGGACTATATTCGACGAGGTCTAATGGTATCAAGATTTGACAGTACCGACGATCGCGTTGATTTCAAGGCGAGTATTGGTGTCGGCGAAGTTATTTCAGGTCCTCCCGCAGGCCCTTTTCTTCACTGTGTAAAGCTCCAATCTGACGGAAATATGGCAGGTTGGGACGAGGCAATCCTCCAGATGTCGTTAGGAGAACGAGCAGTGTTGTACATTCCTCAGTAAGTATTTGGCGCATCATTCCAGGCATTGCGATGGTAACCCGTTAAGCACAGAGACATGGCCTATGGTGTTAGGTAGGTTTGAGCAGAATCTCAATTTAATGCTGCGGTAATCTGCCATTACAGCCGGCAGCCGGCCTATACTGAAGTTTTGTTGCACAATCAAGTCTGACCTATACTGTTGAGAAGGATCATTTCCAAGTATTCAGTTTGATCCGACCATTTCGAACGAATCGATTATACTAATGTGCACTATGGTTAGTGGTCTTCCGGGATATGTTCCCCCTTATTCGGCACTGGTCTTGTGAGTACTGTCCTAGTGCCCTAAAAGGATGTACTTGAAGCGCAAAAGCTACCGCTCCCACAAGAGACCCGGAATGCATAGCATCGAAACTAGACAATAGTTCACAGTAGTAGCTGTACTAACTGTCTTTTCTTCAGTATCGTTGAATTAAAGGCCATAATGAGACGGGGCTCCAGTAAAGTTACTGAGTTTGTTGATTCGTCATAACGTGTCTCAGCTTGTTTTGCATCTGGATCAGTGATGGGGGAGAAAGAGGTCAACCGACCAACGCGAGACTTGAGTTGCAGAACATGGTAGAGTGTTCATAAACGTTAGAGCGTCAGGTCGAAGAACCCATTAACCATATCTCCTCTTGAGTGAGAAGAGGAAATTCAACACGCGGCGCAAATGGTGTCTCTTCGATTCAAATTTTAGGTAGTCCAACATACATCTTGCACCGTATCTCCGTCATACTGCACACTCGAGCGCAGACTTATGGGTCGTGGATCATTTATCATCGGTTCATCCTTTAATTTCACTGACGAAGTTAGCAAGGCATGAAAGCAAACTCGGACGTAACGATAAAGACCTAGTTAACCAAGTCCGGAATGGGAGAGAAACGTTAACCAAGAGCAAGCCTAGTTGTTGGTAGTCAACACAATAGACGAAGGTTTGACTCATACGGTATATCTGCAACTGGCGGACATCCTTAGACTAGCAGCCATTTCCGCGACAATATTTCAGATCTTACGAGATCATTTACCGTCCGAGCCATGGCTCTGTTTTGCGATTTGATTAATTAACTACAAGCACTCTTGAAGATCGTGAACTCTCATGCCCCCACCTTACATCTTAGCCTGAACCCTGTAATAGTTCAATCCTCCGAAAGCTCAAACAAACATTGGATGTGCGCTTTCCGCTAACGGCTGATCACCAATCAAAGTGGACGAAGACACAGATGATGTAGTTCGGAGCCGCACAGGATTACCTAGTACATCTGACTGTTTGCTAGACATACATCTCCAAGGTGTCTGGTTCTCTATCCGTCATATTCCTCGCACTGCTCTCTTCGAGCGATGAAAAGTAGCACTAGCTCAAGGACTTCACAATTTGCCGCAAATCTTCTTGTCTCTCTAGTTGATATCGTCGAAAGATAGTTGGCCCACCCTGCCTGAAAGTCAGAGAATAAAGTTCCTAAATTGCTATTCATATACTTATGTTCTCGTTAAAGATAACATGTTCCTTGCCGCTGTCAAAGCTAGCATATGAATTTCTGACGTTTCCGTGCTCCCACCCCTTAATACAGCTTATTCTATTGTTTTTGTACCAAACTCTCCACTTGAAGAATACGTCGTCTCCATTTTGAGGATGAACGTGCACCATGAAGAAGGATTGAGTGGTTAGCCCGTTAGTTGTGACGAAGAGTATTTTTGCGAATTGGCTAAAGAACGAAGATAGGTGTTCAATATCGTCATGAAATTACTATCTTTAATAATCATAAGCCTCTTGCGTGGAAGGAGACTATCCCTTCAGGCTCTGGACTGGTCCAGATTACAGTAAAGACCAGTCCGTGCACAGAATTTCGTACACTTTGGTCACATGTACAAAGTATTCTGTGCACGTCTACGACTAACATATTTATCAGGGGACAAGTTTTGCGGTTGATGTAGTTGACAGGGAGGCAAGTATGGCGAAGGAGTCTAACATATCGCAACCTCGGCCTAGCTCGTACTTTGTGCGACGCATCATCTACCCGGGTTCTCAGACAGAGTAACGATTGAAGATTTCCCATTACTTCAGAGTTCAGGAGCATTTATGCACTGAAGTGACATCCTAGAAGCTTCTCTATCGTTTCGAGGCGTGCGGCATGATTCCATGAACCTCCCGTTCAACCTCATGACAGTCGGGCGAGCCCTATCACAGAACTCGGCGACCTCGTTATCCCCTAAAATCATAACTTCTATTCCTTCCTATAATCGCAGCCTTTCGGCGGCTGAATATGTTATTATGCGGTGATCTCTCAACTTTCGCCCGTCACAGGGATGGCGCCGTTCGCTCGGTCTCCTGTGGTGATATGCTTTTTATTGTCGCTATCCTACAAAATTTGTTTTTTCTCGGTGGCAAGCCAGGATACAGCTGTAGCCAACTTGTGGTCAAAATTACAGGGCCTCTCAAATAATGACCCGTCTATGGACTTCACCCGTGATACAGCCACATACGACAGGCCAATGCAGTGTTCTGTTTGACTGAGGTCTAGAACAACCTTAGGTAGGGTTATCCTTTGGCTTTATGGACCGTAACTTCATAGGATAACCATAAAGGGAGTTGGGTATGATAGTACGCCACCCCCCTTAGAGTCGAAATGTCGAGTCGTTGGGAATGCAGGGACTACTTCAGGGCTGCATTAGGGGAAGTTCGAGCCTGTATAAGTGCCAAAGTTGATCAGTAAAATGGGACTGGTGAAAAGTCCCGGCCCTCGTTCCAGGCAATATCTCGAACACAACCCATAGATCCGTTCACAAACCCCAATCCGTCCAGAGATTAGTAGTTGCCATCACCCGGGCCTGGAGACAGAGCGAGAGCTCCGGGTGGAGATTATCAGCCTCCTCTTCAATTGCCTGTTGGTCGCATTCCGGCCCTTATGCTGGCTAGAACCGTCTCAACGGGCTGGTTTACACTCGTAAGCTTCTCAACGTTCGCCTCTCTCACCTCCGCGTTGGTGAAGTGCGGCCGGTGAGCCGTGTTAAACGTGGCCACCTCCGTCGGGGAATCCGCGTTCGTAAGAGCTCCCAGCTCTGCTTACACAATCATCTTGATCCCACAGAAAGATCTAGACATTGATGATCGACTTCTTGATTCTGCAAATGTTCTTGGATATACAACCATAGCAGAGAGGGAGCAGGCAAAAAGATCAAAGAGGTAGACAAACTACTAGGCCTATTATTGTTCCAAGTAGAAAATTAGATTTTCTAGAATGCAAGCAGAGATCGATTGTGTACACCTTGCGATTGGCTTGGCAAGAAAAAGGAGTCCTCGACAGGGGAAAGCGCGCACCCTAGAAAGGCTAGAAGCTATAAATGCCAAAGAAATCTGTCGCCGCTATTGCAAAAACAGGACCGCTTTGTCATCAGCGCAGTTGAAATTTCGAATACGTATTAAGTGAACATTCAAGTTCGGGATCCATCACAGCGCGATGCGAAGCATAGCGTATTGGTCTCGAATTCTTATAATGCGAGATCAAGCTCTCACTTGTCCAAGTAAAATATCCTTATCATAAGCTTACCTATTCGAACCAGACCAGCGATATGTCTGCTCCCCTCTCTATTCAGGCTGACGCCTATGTTTGTCCGCCTGTCAAGACCGCAACGGGCCTGCTTGAACCAGAAAGGCAATGGTGGCAACCCATCACCAGCACATTGATTCATGGGCCTACCTCGGCTGTGCTTGTCGATCCACCTCTTACTACAGATCAATCAGAAAAGGTAGCTGATTGGATCGAGTCGATACTCTCATTGTATCCCGGAAAAACCCTGAAATTCATCTACGTGACGCACGCTCACGGCGACCACTTCTTCGGCGCCCCAGTCATCCAGAAACGGTTTCCAAATGTCGAAATTCTGACGACAGCGACAGTTTTAGAGGGCATCAAGGTTGTGTACTCACCCGAAGTACATGAGGGCGTCTGGGGCAAACTGTTCCCCAACGGGCAACTCCCGGTAGAAAAACGGCTACCGACGGCACTGCCGTCTTCTAATGAATTCTTCATCGACGGCGAGGTCCTCAAGGCCTACGACGTAAGCTCTGACTGCGAGCAATCGTCATTCTTACACGTCCCATGCATCAAGCTCGTCGTCGGCGGTGATGTTGTGTACGGGGACTGTCATCAACACCTTCGCGAGGCAAATACCCCCGAGAAGAGGCAGCGTTGGCTCGACGCGCTTGATCTCATTGACAGTCTCAAACCTAACGTCGTTGTCCCCAGCCACAAGCGAGCCACTCAAAGCGATGGAGCCTATCTCGTCGAGGCCACCAGGAGGTATATCCTCGATTTTGCACGTTGGGGCGATGAAATCAAGAAGGATGATTCGATTGAAGCCGCGAAAAAGCCCGAAGCGTTGTTCGCCAGGGTCAAGAAGGGGTATTCACAACGCTGGAACGAGTGGTTGTTGTTGGGTGGGGCGGTGGCTTTCTTTGACTGAGAGCGACGAAGAGAAACACAAATCTTGGGGAGCAGGTGAGCTATGCTTGCCTGTGAGGAAGCAAGATGGATGAACTGAAGGTCTCTGATTCCCTATTTGTTATCGGCTGTTTGAACCCCTGTATGTCATTGCCAGCAAAGTGATCAACCTTCATGACTTTACTCTGAAAAACAGCTTCTGCAAATTAGGCATCAATCGGCGAGCTCTTAGAGTTAAAGACGCTGTAGGCAGGGTATAGAATCGAGAGCGACTTGAGCGTAGTTGTAAAATTCCTTTACCCATACGTCGTCAGCTGTGTTTCTGTTGGCAAAGCTTTCTTCGAGCAGAGACGCATGTTACAAACAGCACATGCGGCCTACTTATGACCGGAGGAATTAGGCAGCTGTGCCGAGACCGAACAAAGATGACACAGCACAGCCTGACGTACGAGGCTGAGTCACGTGATCAGAAGTTGGTCCTCAGTGGTCATCAGGGGAATACAGCCTCCTCAGTGTCAAGCACACTGAGGATGACTGAGGACACCCGTGGACACTGAGGACGCTAGCACTATATATACACACTCTTTAGACTAGATAGGACTATTCGTAGTCAACTTTATTAACAATCCTTTACCTACATTTAGGATAATCTGGAACTAAGTTCTCTTCGTTCAGCTAATCACCTTCACCATCTCGTATCCACTTATCAAGGAAACCCCTTGGTCAGACACTGTTCGCAGTTCCGATCATAACAACGCAGGCAGCCCAACTGTTCGACTCTCGCTGGTACTTCGAAGTCACCTAAGCACAATATCTGACGGAAACACTTCGATAATCATGGCTACGAATGAGGCAACGGTCGCAGCCTGGGATTCTATAATTGGTTACGTGTTGGCAAAAACCTTCTGTGCCTTCAAGCTCTTCAAGCTTCTGGTCATCTGCACAGATGGCGGCAATATTTGTCTTGTTTCGAAAAGAATGATAGGCTCGCAATCTATGGAGATTCTGTGGCCAAGACCCGTCTCTGTAAACCATGGCTCGACACTGGTCGCAGCAAAGGTATATAGTTTCATCCTATCAAGTTTACTGTAGCTACTACGGATACCTGACGTTGAGCACAGAGCAACAGACTCAATTCGAGCAAGCTTTACTTACGAACTCGAATTTCAGCGCGATCGTCTACCACAAAGGTCTCGACACTTGTGTCATTCTGAATTTGGGCACGCCATCCGTATCGAAAACACTATGGCCACCACGGTGGAGGCAACCCCAGGCGCTATCTATAGGAACGGCGGCGAAAATGCACTTGTTGCACTTTTTGTCAGTTTGGGTTTAACCCATCCGTATCTACAAGTGGTAATGTTGACTGCTCCCTCCTTTGAGTTGAAAGAGATCTCTTCACCTCTCTACGCTAATCGAGTTCTTAGACCGGACGTGAATGGGGCTTAGGCCGTTTGCGAGGTTGCCCTGATTTTCTGTCGCGATCGCGATCTCTCCTCATGAGGATCGTGTTGATCCTCTAGGACTATACAAGACCTGCAGGATCTTGTGTGATCCAGGAATGGAGCACGATCCCCATGCGGTTTGATCTCCTTCGCGACAGAAATTGAAAACCGCTTCGCGAACGACATAGACCACCTTCACGCCATGGGCCCATGAGATCCTTGTGCGTCCGTTGTAAAGCCACTGAAGTTCTGTAATTGTTCCCCGTTATCGTCAAAAGGGTAGAGTACTTTCCATCTTGGACTCTTGGGCCAGGCTCTGAGCGATTGCTAAAGGAAACTGCCGATATGGACGTCCTAACAAGATCGACGGGCCGACGAATCGAGCCTCAAGTGGAGGACGGCTTTACACAATCTCCGCAGCGGTCACCAAATGCGAGGCTGTCAAGACGTGAAGGTCTGGGAGGTCTCATTTGGGTGGTCGCCTAGCTGACTTCCTCATCGCCCCAACTCAGAATGGTTCCAAGACCTGGGAAACCGGTGGTAGACTGTTACAAGTTTCGAAGGAGGCTTGTCGGTATCCGAATTTAATTTACTTTTAAATGAGTGGACATCGAAAAAGGACACTTTTTGCGACAACTTGACTCTACGCTTGATACCAGCTTATTCGAAGTGTTACAAGATTCTAATCTTGTGCAGAACTGCCCCTTGCTCGGATTAGATGACCAGGTCATCATGGCCCGGCCAGATTGCGATCCCCAATGGATTGAGCAGCTGAAGTTCCGAGCGGAACACTGACGTCGGCGGATCACCGACATCCATGTTGAAACTGGTGGCCGTCGCATGCTCGGCAAAGAGGACAGACATGGCGCGAGTGATGTGTAGCCCCAGTTTAGGTCCAGAAGATTGATTGCCTGTCTTTTGGACGAATCTGCGAGCGCCACCACCATGATGGCACCTCGGGAAGTAGATAATGGCATTATGATCATCGCTGCATGAGGGCCTTTCGACAAATGGTTTCTTGACGTCGATCAACAGCCGTGTCCCCATCATCTATCAATACCACGATCCGTATTGCCTGCTACGAAATTCCTGCAATACGTTGCTCGAAAAGGGTTCATCTAAACCAGACTGACGGTGGCACGTTTGCGAAAACGCCGGGAAGTTCCATCCCGGCAACATCCTCATTAAACCAGTTGATCACTGTTCTAGGCGTTTCGGATCGGTCTTCCGAGGATAGTGTTTCTTACCTACGTTCTCTTCCTCAACGCAATCCGAAGGTCTCCAACCCCAACTATTATGATAGTGACATCCCCGCAGTTTCCAAGACCATCCATGGGATTCGACACGGCTGGAGCCATGGGTACTAAGTTGGATTTCCAGCCCACAAATTAAGCTTCGCGACACACGCTGTATGATTGCGCGCCCTGCGATGTCTCCTCTTGTATCCACACTCGTTGGCGATTATCCTGCTTTGGTCAAAGGCAACGACGTAGTGCTTGAGATCATGTTGAACCTGTTTTGAAAGCTTTGAGTTGGCTGTCTGGGACGTCATTGATAAGCAAATGGGTTTGGGGGACGAGGTGCGGTGTATAGAGAAGTCGTATGCTGGTGGAAGACAGAAGCCCATCATCGAGACCGGCAAATTCAAGGGGTGTGACACTGTGTAGGGCTCTGCGTTCTGCTCTTGAACATGGCGTAACAAGCAAGTCCGTCATACTACTCTAGCTGATCCGACGACAACCATGACATTATCTGATGACACGGATTTACGCCACTGGTCGGACGACCGCAGGTCGAGCATAAGTCACCGAGGGAGAAGTTCATGTTTTTAAAAATTATTAGGTGATGACCCGAGGACGGACAGTGGAATGACGGAAGGAGATGTCTTGTGGGAGTTTATATCACTAAGACAGTGTTGGATGCTTAGTGTTCTACAGGACCAAGTGCCCTCTTAGGAACCGAGTCAAGAACTGTCACGAAGCGAAACTGTGTCTCATTTCGATCTTCCTCAGAAGCTTTAGGACTATGTTATGACTACTATGATGATGCAGTGCAAAACATATCATGGAGGATTGCAGAATTGAGATGGGTTCATCCTAGACAGAATCACTAGGGAGTGCGTGTCTTGACCATGAAGGACGCATGACCCTGGGATCGTATTCAACAAGAACAGCAATAATGGTTTGAAGGATTATACCGGACAGCTGAGGGAGCTACAGCGAGCACAAAGAAAAGGGTGGTAGTTAGCTATGAAACAATCCATTAGACAGTGTAGCACCAATCTTCATTCACAGCTACAACACGAAGTCCAACGAAAATCAAGTATACCGCACTGACGGACCCTCGAATAAGTGCCTTCGCGGGCCAGGAACATGAGGAGGAAGGACTGAGCCAAGGATACCTGGTCAGGTGACACCCTCGGTAAGAAAAAGTGCATCGGCGATCGCATTGCGTGGTGTGCGCCACCCACTGCACCCTGCATCCTTTCCTACACGCCATCGCAGATTGTCGGTTTTCTTGAATACGGTATCGAAAAGTCTCACGGAGCGTTGTGGCCTGTGCACGCCAAGAAGCACCAGTTTCATGGAGAGTTTGCACCACTCGTGAAAGTCGGTGTTTGGTCAACATGAAGAGAGTCGGAACTTCCCACAGATTGCGGAGGCTGTGATATCTAAGTGTTCTCGTAGCGACCAGCTCTTCATTTTCCAGAGGGGACGGTGTGAGAGGCGCGTAACGTTTCTATCTCAGGTGGCATCGGCAAGGGCATCAAATCAAGATTTCCGCGGGCATGCATGGAATACGGTTATGTAGACGGAAGGAGAGGATATCCATCCGCAAAGCACATCATGATTTACATGGTGACAAGGGGCTGCAGGGTGTTCCAAATAAATCTTGGGCAGCAAAATGGCACTAGCCCGCGGAAACCAAACTCCGCACTACCCAAAACGCAACTATTTCTTGCATACCCCAACAGTCATCCTCCTCCAGTTGCTGGCCAACAGCCTTCGCCTTAATTTACGTAATGTTCTGTAAGATACTTCACACGATTAAAACTCACTTTGCTCTGAAGTGGTGCTTAGCTTTTTGAAGCTTAGCCTCGCTGGCACCAAGCTCAAAGGTGGGATCAAGTTAAATTTGAGTGTGTATTCAAAGTGAAGGATCGCTTGAATATGCCTGTAGTTCTTGCTGCTCTCTGGGTCATATAATCTGAGTAGTGAGTATATGCTGAGGTGAGGCGATGTCGATTTTCGCCCCAATGGACATAGCCCTGTTACAGAGTACCGTGACAGCAATTGATTGGTGAGGTAGCATGGAAACTATCGCCGAATGGATAAGTAAATTAGATCTAGCCTTGACTCCATTTCAGATTCGTACGCCGATCATTGCACTTTGATGTCTAGGTTTCCAACCACCCCTAACCATAAACCTAGCCTTCACGATTCTTTGCCTGTAGCCATCGCCCATTCGCTCGCAATTTCAAGGTTATCTTTCCGCTTCGGCGCCGTTAATCATCCCAGGCACCTTGCATGCGCGTTGCATCCTCCCCCGCCTTATCCCATGCGTCATCCAGAAGACC